CATATTTTTCAGGCATTACTTGGAGATAATGTTAAAGAAACATGCCACAATGTCTGATTCATCTTCTGCCTTCCAGCCCTTACATCCACAGCCTCCATGTTGAGGAAAGGAGGGCAAGGAGTCAAGCCCAGGGGTGCTCTGTGAGGAGGCACATTGCAAGCATCCTTCCAGATGGCACTTCCTATCAACAGATGTGGGTTTCCTATGGCATGATGGCAATCCTATTGCGAAGAGGTATGACTCTTCACTTACGGTGGACAGCTTTGTTTCCCTGCCAAGTAGATGATTTCCAGAGGAGACCTATGCACCAGCAGCCATCCTATAGCTGGGCAGGGAGTAATCCAAAGTAGGCAGGAATTAAAATGCTTATTGTCACTTGCTGCTGAGTAGGTGACATTAACCTCTTCCACATTTTCTAGTGTTTGATCCATGCACAGGATCTCTGTGAGCAGCAGTCTGTTTAGGCAACTAGATCAAACTGTGTCTGTCATTCTTGAAATAGTGTGTGCCATGAGCATCATAGCAGTTGGGGAATTGTAGAATGCCATCTTGGAAGGACCTTAAGGATCATCTGGTCCAAACTGTCTTTGCAAACACATGGTTTGAATAAGATGTCCCACCTCCCTGTCCAGCTGAATCTTAAAAGTGTCCATCACTGGGAAATCCACCACTTCCTTGGGGAGATTATTCCAATGACTGATTATTCTCCTGGTGAAATTTTTTCTCTTGTGTCCAAATGGAATATCCCCAGTAGTGACTTGTATCCATTACCCCTGTCTTTTCCATGTGACTCCTTGTAAAAAGAAGGGTCTCTGATTTCTTTATAGACTTCCTTTAAATACTTATGGTGTTAATGCAGATTAAAGCATTAGACACTGTCCCTCATTACATCCTTTTCTCTAAATTGGAGAGACATCAATTTGATAGGTAGACCACTCGGAAGTTTAACCATGCCAAGTGCAAGGTCCTGCACCTGGGTCGGAGCAATCCCAGGCACAGCTACAGGTTGGGCAAAGAAGAGATTCAGAGCAGCCCTGTGGAGAAGGACTTGGGGGTGTTGGTTGATGAGAGAATGAACATGAGCCGGCTTCAGTGTGCGCTCACAGCCCTTAAAGCCAACCGTATCCTGGGCTGCTTCAAAAGGAGCGTGACCAGCAGGTCAAAGGAGGTGATCCTGCCCCTTTATTCTGCTCTCGTGAGACCTCACTTGGAGTATTGTGTACAGTTCTGGTGTCCTCAACATAAAAAGGACATGGATCTGTTGGAACAAGTCCAGAGGAGGGCCAAGAGGATGATCAGGGGACTGGAGCACCTCCCATATGAAGATAGGCTGAGGAAGTTGGGGCTGTTCAGCCTGGAGAAGAGAAGGCTGCGTGGAGACCTCATAGCAGCCTGCCAGTGTCTGAAGGGGCCCATGAGGATGCTGGGGAGGAATTCTTCATTAGGAACAAGGGGAAATGGGTTAAAACTTAAACAGGGGAAGTTTAGATTGGATATATGGAAGGAGTTCTTTACTGTAAGGGTGGTGAGGCATTGGAATGGGTTGCCCATGGAAGTTGTGAATGCTCCATACCTGGTGGTGTTCAAGGCCAGGTTGAATGGAGTCTCGGGTGGCATGGTTTAGTGTGAGGTGTCCCTGCCCATGGCAAGGGGGGTGGAACTAGATGGACTTAAGGTCCTTTCCAACCCTAACTATTCTATGTTTCTATTCTATGATTTGTTTCAACTTGCTTGAAGGAAAAAAGGAAAATAAACAATGAAACTGTAAGAGGATATACAGTCTTGTCAAGGAAGTAATGTGTATCATGTTTTGAAGCATTGTCTGTCTTCAGTTGTCCTGGAGTTCAGCATAACTCTCTCCAATTTCAAACAAAATTGAATCCTAACTGTTGTTGAGCTGTGTACATGATACTCCATGGGTTGTTCTTCACATGTGACTGCAGCTTTATGGATTTCTCTTTTGGGTCTGGCCTTCTGAAGAACGGACATAACTGGGGGAGTGCTCTGCTGAAATGCCATGCTCTGCTTTGAGACTCTTTTCATTTGAGACAGAAATTCAACCACTGACATTATGAGGCTGAGCATCATAAGGCCTAAGTACTAATCTGAGGTTTCTTATTCAGTTCTTGACTTCTTGGACCTTCACTGTTTTGCCATCTGCTATAATTGAGAATTGGCTTCTGTAACCAAAGGGAAAAATCTAATTTCTCAGCAAGCCATATGGGGTTATTAAGATCATTAAACCATGGTATGCCATAATGCCTGGGCCAAAAGGACCACAGGGCATGTAAATATAGTGTAATCCATTTTATAACCTCAGACTGCAAGTTAGGAATAATTTTGATGGCTATCTCACGATGAAAATTGGTGGTCAAGTAGGTTACTGCAGATGTTGCCTGGTGAGGTCAGTCCATGGCTTGTTCAGAGCTGTGATGGATGAGAGTGTTTGATCGCAAAGGGTAACATCTTTTGTTATCAGCCTGCCAAATGATCAGAACCCAGCCAGTGTCCTCAGTTGTTTCAGTGATGCTAAAGGCAGCCTTAAATTTTGATATTGAGGAACCAGAGAATACAATTCCCACTTTTCAGGAAGACTTGGCTTCTTATATAGGATCTAAGGCCGATGATATAAATTCTACTCCCTTTTATTTCTTAAGAATGGGAAAGCTATTCTCCTGTAAATGCCTGTTCTTGAATACTTTAAAACAAAGTTGCTGGAATTTGTCTCTATTCCTCTAGTTGTGATATTTTACAAGATTTCTTCCTAGCAAAACTCACTTCTATGTATTTGATACAGCTCTGTGTGAGAATATTACAGCTGATTTTTGGCTAATAAGGCTTCAGAAATGAATGCATGAGCTGTGAAATTTACATTAAATTAAATATTTCAGTAAATGCAAATAAATGCAGAAATGAGTGTTTTAATTTGGATTCATGATTAATGCCAAAGGATTACCAACGAGCCACTACAATGTGGTGATGACATAAAAACTCAATAGGAATAAAAATTCTATATACACCAGTTAACTGACAGCAGTAAGCTATTTTTAGTAGGCAAGCATACAGTAATTTCTATGATCTTTTTGAAAAATATAGCAATTGATTGTATTTAAAGTTTTGTCTTTCTGTTAATTATGTCTCAGATTTTCTTTTTTTTAACTGATATACTATTGTACAAGTTGCTGCATTTTTCAGTGTGATAGCTATGGTCTGCAGGTTTATTTCCTTTCTGGAAGTTATTTAATGAATTATATTAAAAACGGGCGTAACTGATTGCCACTTTTCTTTGTGTTATGTTAAGAGACTTAAGAACAAATCATTGTAATTGCTATAAGAAAAAGTGAAGAATTTTCCCCTTTTCAGTTTCCTAGTGATCTTAATCTGACTGCATATGTGTTCTTTGTAGGTCATGGATTTCTGTTTTAGACAACTGAAACCAAAGCATGTCTGAATAGACTTCAGTTTCTGTAGCACCAGGGTCAATACATTTTACTATTTTGAAACCAAGATAATTTAAAGGAAGTATTTCCTGTTCCAGTTATATGTCCAAATATTTCCTTATTTTAGTGTTCTTGGTAATCCCAGTTGGAATAAGAGAGTGACTTTGCTAAAATTTGGGAGTCCAGTCAAATTTATGCATAATTTTTTTTCTTTTCTAACATGGTCTTTGAGAAACCATGAAAAAAATGTGTTTGATTTTTAGTTTGCGTGAGGAGTGCATTTTATGGATTTTTGTGGTGGGTTTCTTTTGTTTTGTTTTTGTTTTTGTAATGGGAATCGTAGAATGGTTTGGGTTGGAAAGGATGTTAAGATCATCTAGTTCCAACCCTCCTGCCATGGGCAGGAATCTCGGTCTTCGTCTTCCCCACTTCCTATGCTTTGGCTAATCTACCAGAATACTCCACCTGAAAGGAGTCCCTGCTAAGTGTGTGCCCTGGGAGCACACCTAATGTTCTCTAACCACTCCTGGGCATTCAAGCTATCAAACCAGAAAAGTACTTGGAAGTAGTCTGAAGGATGAATGCCCCCAGTGCCTCCCGGTAGGTATAGCTTTACAGAGAAAAACCCCTGGGGAAAAGGGTGGGGATGAGTTGGGGTGGGACATGAAGACCTTGTCATTAAGTCAGGATTCTCAGACTTCCCATGACTTAAGCATGTAGCTAAATGAAACTGCTGCCATGGTAGCATTGCATTTCTATACCAACACATTATTCTTTACCACTGTCTTCTGTGCATCAGGCATAAGCATGTGCCTTCTCTTTTGTTGTAATGACTCTCTTGTAGTTACATTCATTTGGAATGATTGTATGGAAAAAATCCTCACTCTGAAATAATTGCAGTATCCATCTTAATACATCGCATCCAAGGAGGAAAAAAAAAAGAACAGAGACCTCAGTAATGAAGTGTTGCTGGCAGGACATGCACGTGCTTAACAGAAACTGTCCTTATGCCTGAATGCTAATTAAGGGCAGCACAAGCCCAGCAAAATCTGAACTCATCTGAAACTAATGGGAATTTCATCTCCACTGTGCACAAGTTTTTTTTCTGGCTTCTTTATGCATTGCTGGTGGTGCTGGTCATGTGGATCACAAGTGAGTCTATGAGGAATTATGTAATGAAAATAATTTGAAGCTATCCCTGATCTAATCTGGCTTGAGGCAGATCAAGAGCTCATAATATCATTACTGTCATATAAGGCTGAGAATATTTATATTTGCCTAGCTTCAGCCTTAAGGGTGCCCTGAACTGTGTGACTTATTTGCAAAACTTCACTTTATGCACTATCAAAGCAGTTAAATGTATACAGGGCTATTGTGGCTTAATGTCCCAGATGTTGTGTTAGTCTACATTAAGCATCAGTGTCATGTGTAACTTGTGTTTTATCGCTTCCTCTTTTCTCATTATTAGACTGTTTCTTCCTGCACAGGTTTAATTCATGGTCTTTCATTTATTTTTTTATTTCTGTCTTAGCAGTGTATCTAATCAATATTTATTTTTACCTGTGTGAATGATTGAGAGCTTCACCAGGCTTCCTCAGTTTTAGGTAGCAGATTACAAGCTTTGCCTCAATAAAACTGGCAATACTAGGAAGATCTTCTAGAGTTAACTCAAAGGGACCGTCTACAGCAGCACCTTTACTGAAAAGCTGTACAAGAAACAAAAACATTATTTATTAATGTTATAATATACCTTTTGTTAGGTAGAAATGCTTTTTGTAACTGATAAATTGAGTAGATTGAATTCCAAGTAAAATATACCCTGACTTCAATCAAAGTTAGTACTATAAAAACCAGTACAAATATATGTGAATATAATACAAAATGCAGTGTCATATTCCTGGAAGAGATAGTCAAGACAGTAGAAAATAAACTAAAACCTAAAAAGCACTGTTAGGAAAGAAGCTATAATTTTCGCCATCTAAAAAAATAGAGGCTCAACTTCAGGATACCAAAATTCATGGCTGTCTTCAGAAGGAGGTTGAAGGAGGAGGCTCAGACAGCTATTTACTTATTTCAGTAAGCCAGTGATGAACTCTGCATTAGGCTTTGCTGCCTTTGTCCCATGGGTAGGAAAGCAGAGTGTGATACAAAGCAAGGAAACCAGAAACCCTGCCCTCATTTCATGGGAGGACTTCTCCTTCCAGAAGACTACTATAGAAAGTTAAAAGGATGAGATCGACCATCTTTCTGATCATCTTGATCCATATAGAATTTAGCATTGTGTTTTCTCTTAAAAAGAATATAATCTTTATCTGATAGAAAAATCACCTGCTGTTCGTCATAACCATTGACTTTCTCAGTAAACAATGTTTGATTTAAAAATGCACATCTTTAGAATTAGATAGTGCACAATTCCTTAAAGTTTTGGAGAGTCAGTGCTAGCAGAGCTGCAGTACTGGGTAGGACCACCTTCAGTCCTCAAATCTTTGTCTTATTAATCTACCTGATTTTGTAATGCCCAAGAGTAGTAAAAATTAGTTTTTAGCTCTTAAGAAAAGTCAACTGTAAGCAAATAGATGAAGTGTAAGATCCTTGTCTTTAAGTAGAATAACCATATAGTGCTACTAATGAAAATGCAATTGAATGTCCCTTGCTTGGATAAACATCCTTAACAGGATTGTGTAGTGTGCAATGATTTCATCTAAGTGACTTCACTGCGAGTCAGCTTTAAAAGTAGATCTGTAATGAAGATTAACAAATTAATACTTATCTAAGCTGTGTGCTTAATATCTTGAATCACACTGAGAGCAGTGTTGTGGATGCTTATGGCACGGATATACAACTGCAGCCTGATGTGGATGAATGTAGTTTCTACTTTAAATGGGGTATAACCAAGGGACTCTTGCTTAAGCTGTTTTGCCAGCTCTGCATAACTAATGAGTTTAGTTATAGTAATTGGTTTCTTGTGCTTACAAAGTTAAAATCCAGCGGTTGATCTGTAGGAGGTGCTATATCAACTCAGCAGTTTGCGATCCCTTTAGAAGATTAAATCTGTCCAGAAAAAAAGCTCTCCTATGTATGTGTCTTTCTTCCTGCTTATGATTCTTAAAGGCAAGGGTTACAGACTCGCATCCACACTTAGCATCTACAAAGCTATCCCTGTCTTTAAGATTTTTGTGCACTGGTTGGAGATCAGCTCAATTCTTAAGAGGAAACAAAGGTCATTTGAGGAAGCATCCCCCTAGTTCAGGTGTGATAAATACTTATTTTCTTTCACATCCCTTCTCCACAGAGCAAAGTTACACAGTGTATATAATAACACCCGTAAATTTAAGATTTTCTATCATCTTGTTATCAGTAGAAGTTATAAATCGGCAAATTCATCACTTACAACTTTGCTCATGGTACCCTATATATCTGCTGAAGTGTCTCATGGATAAGACATGCTATATGTACCTAAAAGACCCAGAGAATTATGTTCGCATCAGTGAACATAAAAGTATCATCAGATTTTTCTGTAATAACACTTTTCAGCTGAATTGGCCATGCTGTGACCTCTATTAAATTTATGGGAATAAGAGATACCAGGCTACTCCCTGGACTTTCAGGTTCTTGAATGATTGTGAGAAGAAAAAATCATTTGGGACTCCCTTCAGTATAAACTGCTGCAATTCAGAGTTTCCTTGAGTCTAACTGCTGATATGAAGAGTTATGTTTAGACCTGTGTAACCCCTCAGTTATCTTTGACAAAAAACAAGACATGAGTCTCTGTAAACCATACCTGAACAGATAAGGATTCAGAGAAAGTATTTAAATATGGTGAAGACTGGGTTCTGTAAGGTCTCCTCTAAGACATCTCAGTAAGAGCTCAAAGAAATTAATAATAACTCAATCTTTAATCTTGCAAAATCAGAGTAATGTTTTTAAAGGGATGTGCTTGCATTTGGGACATCCTATATCTAAGTTGTATGCTTTTTGTGTCTCAAACTCTACTAATTTTTGTGTAGTGTTTCTGCAGTGGGTCAGTGACTTTGAGAGAGACTTTTCCACATCAGTTCCATACAAAGAGCAGAAACATGCATCAAAAATCAGATTCAACTTAATTTCACAGAAATGGCTCCTTCTGTACTAAGGGGGGAAAGTTATAAATATACTAAATAGCTGTAGCATCTGGTATTGGTGCACAGTAAGATGCACAATTAAATGTACTGTTTTGGTAGCAACAAAGACACCACTGGAAAAGGCTTTAATTGGGTGAATGATCTTAGTGCTTCTTGAAAAGTGTGTCATTGTTTTCCAAGTTCTGATGGAGGATGCATGTTTTGTGTGTGGTTTATCACCCTTTATTGTATTTTGCTGGCCTTTCTGATAAAATGATTTGGCTATGCAGTAGGAGAAGGACCACTTCCTTGTGTTGGCCTGCCTGGCACTGAATATGAAGTCTGAGTGAGCATTTCTGGGGGTGTGAGGCAAAGACAGTCCCAGAAAGCATCTGAGAAAACTGATTAGGGGAAACTCCCAGGGGAGGAGTTAGGCAGGAAGGAGACAGCGAGCAGAGAATTTCAGCATAAGGGGAGATGTGAAGAAGAGTTGTAGAAAGACTTGCATCTGAGTTTCAAAGGGGAAGAGGAATAGGAATATTTCCCAGGGATCCAAAGGAGCCTCTGTAGCTGCAGATTGTTGTAACTTTAGAAAACCCAGCTGATCTGAGGGCAAGGGAAGAAGAAAGGCTGTGCCATGCACAGACATAATGAGCAGGGAGGAGATTTGTTTGCATTTTTCATGTTTCACCTAGCACAACAGAGTTTTATTTATCTTGCTGCAGTCTGCAGTCCGATAACACCAGCTTTGAAGATCAAAAGGGCTGTGGTGTTTTTGGAATGCTTTAAGTAAAAGCAGCTCCCTCTCACTCTGCATACCTTATGGTCTTGTCACAAGGACATTCAAATATAGATGTTGGCTTGAAGAGGCAGTTGCTTTTTGTACTGTTGAGGGTATTTGGTTATTTTATTTTACTTTTTTTCCCCAGAGCTATGTAAGAATTGTATTTTAATTCCAAACTGGGAAATTTGGGGTACATCTTGCCTAAAACTTTAGTGAGCTTTTGGTCTGCAGAAGTCTAGCCAATATCTTAAAGGTTATAGAGGCTTTAAATTTGAAGCAAATCATTTAAACATTTGAAGCTTTACAGCCAACCTGGGGTTGAAAACTTGTGCCAGTTTATGTCTTTTTACCATAGCTAGCATGTGTAACAGTATATTTTACTTTCAGACTCAGTGTACTGGAGAGTGCCCCTGCCAGTAGATACAAGTGTTTTTTCAGAAATAACATTTAATTTTAAAAATCCTGCCAAAGGATATTTATATTTTCATGGAGGCCCTTGTTACAACTGGAGGCTATTGAGCAGGTTTTGTGAACATGCATCCTTTAGAAGACTACTGAGTTATCCCATTCAAAGACTCATCAATTATATAAACAAAATGCAAGGAATGAAAGCATAATGGGCAATTTTTGTATTAGAGGTGAACTGACGCTATGTTGTATTTTCACTGATAAAGGAGGCTTCTCTTGCAGTGTATAGGACTCTATAAATATTGCTGAAACCACAGTCATATAAATGCTTGTGACAAAGTACTTTATCAAAGGTCACAGAATGAGTCTGTGATACTGTGAACTTAGCATAGATTTTTTTTTGTGGTATTAAGGCTTTAATTTTGGCAGTAGCAAGCAAGGAAATTTTATGAGTTAAAGACCTCCCAGGCATTAGCTAATAAGGAAGAGAGGAAAAGGTCTCCCAGAAGACCAACCATGGCTTTGGTAAAAGACCAGTGGAAATGTTGATGATTAAGGTAGCTTTCTAGCTAGCATGTGTATAATTTAGAAGAATAAGATTAGAGCTCTGGTGATATGTACCTTGGCACTTTGGAACTGTTTTCTCTGAAAACCAGGTGAAAGGTTCAGTTGTAAGAAACTGGCAATGGGAACAGTTTACTGATCCCTGTTATAGGTTCGGTGTATGCGAAATTCAGGAGTACAGTTTGCTTTAAAGATGCCCAATAGATGTCCACCCATTTGTGTAGTTACAGATACATATTTTAAGACCAGTTTAGCTTAGGAAAACAAGTAAATTTGGTCAAACAGTGTGTGGCACTAAGATTCATTGGCTAATTCCGTGAGATCGCTTATGCTTTCCTCTGTCAGACAAAAGGGCTGAGTTACTTTGAATACAGCAGTAACCTGCTAGCCTTGCTGAGTTGATTGTGTTGCCTTTTTTCTATTTTTTTTTTTCTTTGTTAGCAGAGGAATGTTTAATCATGCCTCTCTGTTAAAGATAATGGCGGTTTCCCCTGCAGTGATTTTTAGAGTGGCTAATCAGAGAGACAAACCTGAAAAGGCAAAAAGTATTTAATTAGTGCCTTTTCTTCTGACTGGCCAACAGTCCTAACCAGATGCCTTCACTTCAGACCCATCCAAGTAATCAGCCTGGTAATGTTACTGCATTGCACATCAGGCACCTGGCAAGTTGAACACTAACTGCATCCCAGAAAATGTCTGCTAAGGAAGGCTACTTCTGAAAATAATTTTCAAAACCTGATAGGAGGCATCACACAGTGCTGAAAACAAACTGCTTTTGTATATTGTACTGTAATTGAGTCTTTACAACTATTAGGCACTATCAAAAATACTGCAGGAAGCCAGGATAACA